CCCAACGAACCATCTTCAAGTCACAACGACCTAGTACCTCATTCAACTCCCCCGCAACTTCCTACTCGCCGCAATATCTTTGATGATGACGAACTTGACCAGCTCACGGTTGATGCATCTCGCCTGCATTTCGGACGTCGCAACCCCGATCAAACCGCCGATGATGTGCTCCAAGATCGCTCCACCGCTCCCAATAAAGCCGCAATTCTCTCCGCACTTGCTGCTTTCGATTCTGACGATGACGAAAGAGACGATACATATGATGTCGCCGATGTCGGCGGAACAGTTGATTCTGCCAACCCCGAAGAATCCAACCCTGAAAACAACTCACAACAGAGTGCACATGACGAAACCCTCTTCCGTGCCTACAAGTCATCACCAAGCATCTTTGCTAGGGATGCAACCACTCGTAGAAGCAAAGAAAGAGCAGCTATAAGACAAGATACAGGCATGACGGACGAAGCACTCGAGGGGTGGGCAGTCATGCTTTCTCGTGACCCTAAGCAAATGCGACGACTTGAAACACAATTCGCCACGTTCAAAGGAGAACAAACAAGTTTGGAGAGTACGTCGTGGAAAGCTGTTGAGGGGGAGGAAGACGGGAATGGAATTGGCAATAGGGGTAGAGGAGGCCGGATTAGAGGACCGGGTAGAGGTGGGAGAGGTGGCGGAGGAAGAGGAAGAGGCAATGGAAACGTGGCGGGTACGAGTGGTGATAAGGAGACTGACGTCGCTAGACAGAGGAAAGAAGCGAATAAGGGATCGAGAGCTAATCATAATCGTAGGGAGGGAAGGGCGAGAAAAATGGCTAGGGGGGGATTTCCGGGGTAGTGGAAAGAACCTTCAAGTATGGTAAGGTTGAATCGAAGAAAGTGAAAAGCGTAGATACCTTAAGATTAATCTCGATAACATCGACTTGTTAATCATCATCCACATACTTTCCATGGCTCTATAGCACGTGCCTTACTCAAATAGGACGAATTTCGTAATTCGGGGAAAGGCCAAGGTCTTGAACGAGGGGCGTGGAAGTGAAGCGAGACCATGGAGGTTGAGGATTGGGAGGCCGTGAGAGCGCAGTAGATTAGGACAGGATACGAAGTATAATAAATAGTATGATGATAAAACATGTTTCCGTAAAGTATGAGTCGAAAAGCAAGAAGTAGTAACAGCTATGAATTAGAACCCTGTTGGTCGAGACTCTTGCGCTTGTTGCTCATTGGGCGAATTCCTAATCTAATATGACCTCTGTGAAGTCAAGACGCCCAATCTCCTCCTTGCGTGACACCAAATCCACAACACTAGAATACGCACATTTTGTTAAGAAAATAGATATCTTCATATGAAAAATGACCCAAATGATCTATTACATGGCATATTCTATGATATTAATGCATCATATCCTTACTATCTATACATGCCCAAACCATGTCCGAATTAAGCCCGTCAAAATCACAAGCACCACTTCAACTAAATTGAAAATTTCATGACCTTCCCACTAATACTCCTAGTGAATCTTCCTTAATACAAATTATACCAAGCGCCAATTACAAAATCATAGTAGCACAAATGGTGGGCTTATAGTGTACAAATAGAAGCTTAATCGACCTCCCAACTCTCGCTGGAAGTCGTATCCTTCTTAGATTGTGAGGAAACATCCCTTCGTCTTGAAGGCGTGGGAGTAAGACTAAATCCAAAGTCATCCTCAGTCCAACTTTCGCCTTGATATTCGTCTTCGGTGAAATCCCAATGTACAGCCTCTCCCTCACCGAGTAGCACCCCTCTCCATTCACCCGCTGCGATTTTAGATGCAACGTTAATCATCACTTGCAGTAAATGACTTGGAGGACTCAAAAGAATTTCACATGTCTTTTGGATGATGGCTGTTGGAAGATGTCGAGCGGTTTGTAGTCGCCGTGATCCCGGTGGTGGAGAAAACAGGTTTACTGCAGCAGGGAGAGGGGATAGTGTTCTTCTTCGTGAGTTGCTACCTGTTGTACCACGTTGTCTCAACCTTGGTGGTGAAGGAGTAATGGCCTCAAAGGCTTCATCTTCAAACTTGCCGCAATCATTAACCAAAGTCGGTGTCTTTGGAGCAGGTGACAAACTTCGAGGAGATGTACTCATGAGTGAAGGTGTGTGCCATGCTCCGTGTGTCTCGGGGGTTACATTAAGCTGTGAGATTGCTTGCGTAGAATGTACTTTCTTTGGAAGGACAATATTATCGTGGGGGTAGGGAAAAGTGATAGGTGAAGGTGGACCGGACAGGGGGGGTGACGGTGGTACATCAAGTGGAGAGTGCCATGACTGTGTAGAGTGAAACGAATCGACGCTCGATGAGAGCTCTGAATCAGGGTCGCCGACTGCAATTTTGCTCACTGGAGACCTGTTTCGACGCTTTGAAGGTGGACTTGTGACTAGAGAGAGGACAGGAGGGGCCGTGATTGATCGACTACAGTGATGTAACACTTGTGAGGGACTTCTGGAGCCAGGAAGTGATTGCGAATGTGGCGATTGAGCGGGGGCTTTAACTGTAGCATTAGTGGCGCACGTTTCGTCACTATCACTACCTTCACCAACCTCTACACGGGACAAGACGGCAAGTATAGATTCTGATGAGGCTACACCATACTCTGTTGGATGAGGTTCGACTGCACGAGTTTTTAGTGGGTATGTTGGAGAGTGTACTGTTGGATTCGTAGATTTGGCTACAGATGTTTCTGGTGTTTCTTCTTGGAATTGCAGGTCTGATATGCATGTCTCTGTGGGGCTAGCCGCGGATCGATGCAATGCAGAAGTCTGAAGTGGGGAAGAAGAGCGGGTTCTTCTGCATGACAGCTTTGGCGAGTTTGAGGTCAACGAGGTTGACTTCAAAGCAATAGGATAAAGGTCACCCCGAGGTAAAGGAATTCTAGATGACGATCTTTGTACTGGCTTCCACGGTTTTTGCGTGGTAGGTATTTGCAGAGCAATCGGCAGATCAACAGAAAACGTTCTTTGGAACGGACAAGGAGTCTTTTCATATAACAACACCTGCGCCAGTATCTTCTTGAGTTCCTCTCCTTGCTTAATTTCTTCGGGAGTTGTGTTGCTTATCTCGATTCGCCAGTACTCCTGTAGCCTTCGTACTTGCAACACGAATTTGCTAGATCCATCGTCCGAAACAAACCAGCATTGACTTCGAGGTAATATCGGCTTTAAAGCTTTCTGACAATTGAAAAACGCGACAGATTCGGGAGCTCTATAGATGCGCAAAGTGCCTGCAAATGTCACATCAGCATGAGTATTCATTCTTAGAGCAAACACAAAATTGCCACAAAACGCGTACCAGCGGCGATTGTCCTTTCCCCTGGGGAAGACCACCTCAGAGAAGAACCTATTTCCGTATTTTCCTTCGCAGGTCCATTACTCGAGCTCGGTCGCGACGAAGGTTGCGACGGTATTGAAAAAGATATGATGCGGGCGCCATCGACACTATAAAGTGTCTCGATTTGGGGATCGGGAGTCGATATTGATCGATCAGAAACAGACACAGCGCGTGCCGACAACGAAGAATAAGCCATTGGCAATTTGAGCCGATCTACTTGTTATATTTCCTGTCTGATGACCATCATGGTATTGCACATTTGCGCGATAAGTGGCGATTTTTTGAACGTCGAAAATAAATGCAAATTTGAGATATGGAGTTGGGTTCCGCAAGCTGTCGCAGTTAGATTCGGCGAGTTTCAAGACGGTACAGTTGGTTCCATGTATCACCCTAAGGTGACTTCCTGGCAATTCTATTTCTTGGATGAAATTTCAAGAAAGAATGTAGAGTGTACGAGTGAAGTAGAGTAGAGTAGAGTATCAAGATTTAAAGATGTGCGAGTGTGTGTGCCCGGGACAGTAGAAGGCACTATTGATTGTGGTGGTTATAAGAAGCAAGGAAGTTTATATTTGTAGATGTACCTGACTTAGTGTGTATAGCGGCAGGTATATATGTACTGAACATCTATGGCTATGGCTGACGAGACTGCGTGCTTACAATGTTGCTCTTCAACACATACTCTCATTCCTCGTAGTCAGTATTTATCCAACATGTATGATTTCGGAGGATGTACGGTATTAATTTACAATTGAGTCAAAGTCCCATTCACATTCACCTTGTTTCAATTTCCTGGAGATTTTATTAAGTTCGGACATTGGCGGATCGCATTGCACGGAGCATACAGCAGAGTAATAATGTAGCTAGAATGCAGCTTGTAGTGGGGGATCAGACAGTGGAGTGATCAAGGTAAGTTATTATTAGTTGTCTTGACTCTCGAGGGAGGTTGTGTGCCCGTACGTGCCGTACCTAGCAGGAAGTAAGATGTGCCCCGGACCTTCAACTTGCTGTTCCAAAGCAATTTCAAACGCTCCCCAACAATTGAGATGTGAGGATCGTAAGGTATTGATAGGTTCAGCCAACGTGTAAGCAATCGATGCGAATGTAGCGGTGCAGATGCACCGGTGCAAGATACTTGAATGGTCTCATTGACGAGTCTCTGGTAGTAGATACACTCGAGAATACAGTGGGACTCCATTTAACCTTATGAAGAAAGACTGAAAGATGTCAATAAACGGTATATGGACCATTGCTCGTTGCTCGTTGCTCGTATTACTTTTCCACTTACAGTATCGTACATACCTACGGGCAATGGATACCTACTGGTAATGAATAATGGATAATTCAATGGATAATGAGGGGTCTAAATGATGACGTCGCATAAGCCGAACCAGGAATGTTGTAGCTTCTTAGAGCTCTGAGCTGTCGTATGCAGCGTATTACTGGGATTGATAAAAAAAGATTGTGTAATGTATAGGTACTCGTACATACCACAACTACTACTAATACTCCTACTACCTACCCACAGGTCCATGTCCAATAGCTAGAGATAAGAAGGCTGATACCTACACATTCTTCTCATCCTTCATTCAACCTTCAATATTTGACTATCGTCCACTCAAGTATAGGCAAGGCAAATATGGATTCAAAAAGGTTGCAGAAGCCTTTCAAAGATCGTGATGAATTGAAGGAGAAATTGTCTATCGATCATTTCGATTTGAACGCTATCCTGCGAGGAGCCCAATTGACAATTGTGGGAGGTCAGTTTCATATATGAGCACAACGACAATAATACCGTATTATACGTTGGAATCCGGTGCTGACTGACTGCGTTATAGCTTTAAGGGCTCTGCGAAATCCGCAATTGTTTACTTCGGAGCATTACAAGCAGGCAGCTCTCGCAGTTCTGGCAGGCGTCGTAATTCGATTAGCTATCGAGATCCCCGTACGACTTCTCACCATACTTCGGCACTTTTTGGTGATTGCTAACAAGTAGCAGATTTTCGGTGTGAGAGTCTTCCTATGGCTCATGTCATTTGTTGTAGACCTAGGAGCCTCTACTTTCGATAACAGGGTTGTCGAGGGCTTAGATCTTATCCAGAATCATGTTTTACAAGTTCCGTTCTTTCTCATGAGTATACTAAGTCGTGTCACACCAACCCTTGACAACATGTGAGTATCTCGGTGCGAGCGCACAAATCCCATTGAATTGCGATTTTTTACTAACCCTCACAGGTTCATGATGAGCCTCGCGTTCGTTGACGAAACATATTACGAGAAACATAAAGGAGAGGAACGGTCCACATTAAGAGACGAATATTATCCAAATTTACGACGATATCCTAAGAGAGATGGCACAACCCATAAAACAAGCACAGCCGAGAACATGTCCATGTTTTTGATAAAGTTTGGAAAGAAGGCGGGGCTCTCTTTGGCAGTATATGCTCTATCTTACGTTCCGATCCTGGGAAGATTCGTGCTTCCGGCTGCCAGTTTCTATACATTCAATAAGTACGAAACCCAATCGAAATATGATATATGATATATTTCATACTAACAGTCCTTAGAGCTGCAGGACTTGGTCCCGGCCTTATAGTGTTTGGCACGGGTGTCTTTTTGCCTCGTAGATATCTCGTAATCTTTCTACAGAGTTACTTCTCGTCACGCAGTTTGATGCGTGAACTGGTGAGTTTTCGAATCGTTGTCGTGATGTGAATTGTATCTGACTGCTCTAGCTTGAGCCATACTTCGCTCGTATCAAGTTTACCAAGGAGCAGAAGAAGAATTGGTTTCATGATCGAGAGGGACTCTTGTTTGGCTTTGGTATCGGGTTCTACATATTCCTTCGAATCCCTTTGCTCGGTGTACTTGTCTATGGTATTGCAGAAGCATCCACGGCATATCTTATTACCAAAATTACCGACCCGCCCCCACCTGTTGGACAAGAGGACAACTTTGCTGCTAGCCAACAAAAGTGGAAGAACAAGCATGAGTTCTTGAACCTCAAACTCGACCAACTAGATTCTCTGAACACATCCAGTAGGAATGAAGTCACGCAGGGTGTTTCAGGCGAGAAAGCTTCATCATCGGCCACGGAAGTGCCTCCGCCGTACAGCGAGTTAAGATCACGGTAATGAATGGATGGATGGTTTAAATAGAGAGTATATGGCCAAGCTCGGTAGCATGCAAAATCACCCAGTGATCTGAACAACATGACTGAAACGTTTGCCGTGTTCTACAGCTACCAAGCAGATGGTCGGTAAGATACTAAGATACATCTGTGTAACATTGTATACTGCATCTTACTAGATATTAATCATGCCACGTTCTATTGCCAAACTCCAAGCTCATGCCAGGCACACTTTATTCATCATGAACTTCCCGAGACAGTTGAATGATTCCCTTTTGAAATTCTTAGTGTCATACATATTTTCCAAGCCGATGAACCCCGCATTCCTCCTACTTCCCATACTCTCTTGATTCGAGTGGCACTCAGATTGGTCTGCACAGATGATTGGTTCGATTCATGTGAGAGAGGAGGGGTAATTTGTAATTTGTAATTTGCGATAAGAGCTGCCGAACGTCCTTTTTCTTATCATCTCTTACGTCTCTTCTTTGATCAGCTACCGGATATCCATCAGTATCTAGGAATTAATAGGAATTGATAGGAGTGATATCCCATTTTCGGTTGACTACCTACTAGGTAACCTAAGTATAAGAGTGAGTGATAGTGCTTTCTCCCTGTTCATTTCACTTTTGACCACATCGTCAAATTTCGCCTGGCCTTCTTCTCTTTTTACAACAAACTTGTGAACGTAATCGACACCTTACTTCCTTCTTCCCATCTGTAACTATTGCAACTCGACATTCCACAGGATACAATGGGTCGATCAGAAATCCGCAATATCTGCAAAGTTTCACTTGATGAGCCTGCAGAAAGTCAACCGAAGCTTCATAACAGATGGCATCCAGACATTCCGTTCGCTGATACCATCAAGGATGGTGAAACCGTTAAGATAGAATGTGTAAGTGCCCCTTACATCGTGATCTTTTTCAAAATAGTGGCTAATCGCATTATTAAAGGTTGACTGGACTGGAGGTCAAATCAGTAAGCTTTCGACCCACATCATTGTCTTCGTAACCATTTACTCATGGCTGCTTCAGAGAACGATGACAGTGCAGATGATGTAAAAAATGTCGATCTTACCAAGATCCACTACTTGTCTGGGCCATTTGAAATCGAGACAGCAGAGCCAGGAGATGTATTGCTTGTTGAAATAATGGATGTACAGCCACATCAAGAGCATCCTTGGGGCTTGTAAGTCACTTGCAATCAATGTCAAATATACATGATTACTGATTATATATAGCACCGGTGAGCAACAAATTGTTCAAGCGGTTTTCATAGACTTAATATTGACGTTGACTGCCTAGGTGTCTTCGCCAAAGAAAACGGAGGTGGCTTCCTGGATGAACTTTACCCATCGGCGTATGTCTTAATTTGATTGATCTCTGGATTTTAGAACTAATAAGTGGCGATATAGAGCTAAAGCAATTTGGGATTTTGAGGGGATCTATTGCTCATCGCGGCATATTCCCCATGTCAAATTTCCTGGATTGATTCACCCTGGTATTCTTGGTTGTGCACCATCTGCAGAAGTAGGTTCCTAAGCTATTATTTTTACTCTTCCTCCCATTCTCGAAGGAGCACTTCAGGAAGAGAGTTGAATCCAGCGACTTGTATAGTCGGGGCCACAGTCTCGGAATGAAAATTTCCTGGTCTTAGAATCTGGTACACGTGTATAATTTACTTGGGATGTGGCAGATCAATCTCAACATGCCACGCTATATTCAAAGAGCTCATTATCTCTTTTATAGTCGAAGGTTCTCAAAGTTAGACTACGGTCAGACTATGACCATCGCGATCGTCTCACCATTCATTTTACACTGTCCATTCGAAATATTTATATTCTGATAATTGATTATAGGTTCTAGCCACATGGAACAAACGGGAGGGTGAATTGATAGCTGCCAACAAGCTGGACAGGATTGTTGCTCAACCACCTAACCCTCAAAACGTGCATGCTGGTTCGGCATCTGAGGACATCAAAACAAAGGTTGGCCGCGAAGGCGCAAGAACAATCCCGGGTATTGTATTCACATGTGGTCCCAATTTGCTGTTCAAATTTTGATATTTGTTAGGTCGCCCCGAACATGGCGGAAACTGTGACATCAAGAATTTGAGCAGAGGAAGCAAGGTGAGATTACCTAGTAACAAAATGATTGAAAGTGAATACTGACGACATGATGAGGTGTACCTTCCAGTACATGTGAAGGGAGCCAAGTTCTCTGTTGGAGATCTCCATTTCTCCCGTAAGTGGTCCTTTCTGTTGTCTATCTATTCATTCAAAGTAATAACTGTGAAATCAGAGGGCGACGGTGAAATCTCGTTTTGCGGTGCCATTGAGATGTCCGGTGTCATCACCATCAATTTTAAGGTAATGAAAAATGGTATAGCAGATCTTGGTATGAAATCACCACTCTACTTACCCGGCCCCGTCGAGCCCCATTACGGACCAGGAAGATACCTTACCTTTGAGGGGTTCAGTGTGGACCACCATGGTAAGCAGGTAAGTAGTATAGCAAGTCTTTGTAATGATTTTATTTACTAATGGAACACGAAAGCACTACATGGACGTCACTGTAGCCTACCGCGAGACTATTTTGCGTTGCATCGAATACCTACGTCGATTTGGGTATTCTGACTACCAGATCTATCTCTTGTTATCCTGTGCACCAGTACAAGGTCACGTCGCTGGAATCGTAGATATCCCAAACGGTAAGTTCAATTGACAATTTCTAAGCCACAAGATCGCCCACTTACAACCTAAAACCAGCATGCACGACTCTTGGTTTGCCCATGGATATTTTTGATTTCGATATTTCTCCTTCTGGTCCTGCAAAGAAGCTGGATATGGGTAGCTGTGCCTTTGAGACCGGTGTTACCGCGGGCAAAGTTACAAAGGGCGGTGAGAATAGTGAGCACAGCTTCGGTGGTGGTTTGACTTTCAAGTAGTAGTAAGATATAATTTGAGTTCTCAACATGGTTCTTTATTATTGCGCCAGCGGATGGTTTAGCTGATTTGTTTTTTTGGTTATGCACTCAATGGATCCTCTATATATCGATATATTGATAGCTTGAGTTCCTTCTGTCCTTGTGCCGTACGTTCGTTGATTCAAAAAATATTACCCAGTACGGCAAAGTCCTGGATGGCAAAGCCTGCACCGGAGCCATGATGAGGACTCGCTGCAAGTGCTACATGTCCGATTAGAACATTTTTTTCTTTGGCGTAAGTAGACGCAGGGTGGTCGAGCATATCAAAGATAGCCCAACTGTCAACATATTCATTGAGCAGGCTAAGAATGGGAGTGACGTTCTTGCTCCAACCAGCAAGTTCATTCAGTGTATCTTGCTCAGTCGCCGCACGTGAGGATCTATGTGGATCTATCGAGCCTTATTTAGTTCTTCTAAAGGCAACTACATTCATAGTTTCCCCTCGTCAACAGGGAGAGTTATAACGTGACCGTCTAGTCCGAGGTGCATCTCAGTATTCGTGGCCATGTCCTCACCCAATTCAGCTATCGCATTTTTCTATCGTTCTGCGACCGCGATAGACGCACTTGTAACTGTAGCATGCATGACTTTCATGATTTCCAAGCCCCAATATAGGTGGTCGAACATGGCTCTTGACGCCATCCGCTCCTATCACCGCTTCTGCTGTCACTGTTGTGTAATCTGCGAAATAAAGAATGGCCAGACCTTGATCATCGCTCTCATCTACTACCCTCTTGCGGAATTTGGGAATGTCCTCGGGTATGAACCTAACCATTTTATTCCAAAAAAAAAAAAACACTATATATCGTACACTATTAGAGTATTTCCAACTGTAGAGTGAGAACAGAACCTTGGAGGGCTCGCTGCCATTGTCGTGATAGCAACCCAAGAAAACAAAGTAAGATTACAATTCTTTGCTTCCTTCGAACATGTTAGCGCAGTTTGATTTACAGAGGCCATGTGTTGCGACGGCTTTGAATGCAGTAGACTCACTGAGATCTCATGCTTCCATATCTCAAACAGAGTTCGAAGCAAATGCAACACCAACACCAACAACAATCTTGGAAAAGATGTGGCTTCGCTCATGTATTTTGCAAGAGATGCCTCGATTACCAAGACCCAAAGCTAAAGTCATTCCAGTGATACAACCACCAACGATAGCAATACCCTATGAGGATACTCCGAATGAATTTGAAACATAGTTTTCACTTGTGGTGTATGGAGAAATAAGTCAGTGATTGAGTGGAGAAGTGGGACAATAGATAAGAGTGACGATGATCTCTTTAGTGAAATCGTATGGACAGAGTGGTTTTATTTCGGATTGATTTTATCTATGAGGCGGTGCCAATATATATATTTCAGCTCTTTAACGGCCCGTTTATCTTTTTCCCCGCGCGTCCTTTGCCCCTTAAAAAGTCGTCGCCAGTGATTCGAAAGATTTCGCTTAAACTTAAAGGTAACGTCACATGTATGACGAAACCACCAATCAAAACTTCGGAAACAATGGATGTCTGAGTGATTCGGACGATTGGAGCAATCAATTTCAAAAATTTGCGGCGGCTCAAGTTGTCTTTATATGGAAGCACGTTCAGCACTACAGATTATCCTACACGGCCGGCTAATCACAACTGATCTTGTACTGATCTTCATCTCCATTTGATCTTGCCCCCATGCCCCTCCCACTAACCGCCGTTTGCACCAGATGTGGTTTTTCGCATGATCACCGTTCCGTTTTAGAGACTAAGACCAGGTCTGTCAATCAAATGGCTTGCTCACCGTTGCATTCAAAAACATTGCGCCCCACAAAGATAATGACATATTCCAAAGGCCAAAAACTTGACATCGTTGCAATCTGCCTGGGACAATACGCAAGATCTTTACCGCACATAGGATCTGAAATCAAATACCATGATGTATCTTCCTGGCATAATCGATGTCCAAAGGATCATTAGGTACATATATACTGCTGGGCTTCTTTGGTAATTACGATAACTGCTGAAGCTCTCTATGGTCGCTGAGATTCATAGTACACTGATCATAAGCTGCTGGCCGACATGTTACGTCACGCTATAACCATGTGTCGGATCAACACGAATGCTTACAGAACCTGTTTCTGGTGTCTTATTCGCCACGGGTAAGACCGATCTTGTCTTGATACGATTTTTACCAAGACTAACCCAACATTACAACCGAACCATGGGATTAGTAACACTTATATCCTCACTCGTTCTTTTCTATCAAATCATTTCTACAATGAGTTTATCCCCTAAGAAATTTCTCCGTCGGTGCGTGTGAGCGAGGAGCGAAGTTACCATGTGTATTAGGGTGATTCGACCCGACAGGAAATTGTTGATTCAAATCCTGTATATGCATACCGAGGCTTAGTCACTTGTCGAAAATGCTGATCGGTTTAATCCAAAGCACTTTCTTGGTCAATATATCACTCGCGAAGAGAATCTGCTATCATCTTTTCGCCGGCGGCTCGAAATATTGTCCGAGAGATTTTTGGCTCCCGTGTAATCTTCATGCTTGCGTTTTCGCTTTTGTGCCGCTTCAATATTGAGATAGATCCAAGAAAGAAGGTGAAGGTGGGTGAGACTATTACATCTAGGGGCGCTATGATACCTACTTTTAGGAATAATGTCATCATAAGGGTAAAACTAGCGAAGCAAGCAAGCCATGAATGTAGTTAGTATGTGATGCTATGGTCACGGAGTCATATTCAAAGGCAGAAGTTTCAGCGTTTCAAATCTCACATTCCCATCTTCTCCTGTCATATCCAAAATCTAGGATGGAGACCCTATATCCTATCAATTTTTTGAACATTCTATAACTTATCATCCTTGTAATAAACATTCTCATCCTCATGGAAGGGCATGAGTGATACTACATGAAAGATGTTGGGAAAACGTAATAAATAGCTGATATGAATCAATCGAGATATTACGGACGAGTCTGGTTCTTTCTCTATCCCTGAGGTTGCCATGAAACTCTCAAGTCATCATCTCCTTTTCGAGCCACAGACAGTTTCTGTAACTACCCTCAGTTCAGTTTGTCACAACCCGGCGCTTTTCCCCATTACCTTCCACTCCCTCGTTGAATCAGTCATCCACCTTTACCAATCGATATACTAATTCTAGAAAGATGCCAAACAGTCTCACTGGAATGTGTTCTACTTCGCAACTTTCCCTCAAACCTTATGTAGGTCCGGTTCCACTAGGATATGTATTCGGCCCAATATACCCTATTTTGAATCGATTCATTTAGCCACGATCAAGAAAGAAATTGGTGGCATAAAATGTAAATGCCCTCTTCAAAACGTCAAAATGACGATCAGTTTTCTGTAAATTTACCGCTAAAATAGAGTCTGCTGCCGAGCCAGTCCAACTGTAGAGACGCCATAGCCAATAATACCCAGATATTTGTAGGCCTTGAGATTGAGATTGAGATATCAGCTCAAAGAATAAAAGAGCAGATTAAGAAGAGATGGTTTAAATTTTCATAAATCATGGAAAATAACACCAGGGTTCTCATTAACAAAGACAGCAACATATTTGTGGAAATGGAGTGAGATAGTGAGGTTCACCAGTTGTTGTGGTTGTGTGTAAACCACGTGACTGTTACTGGTACTCACCGTGACTTGTAACTTCGGAATAATTCCGATGAATCTTTTCCGCTCTAATGGCCCCTCCTTTCGGTTTGCATAGGGTTATGTTCTTACCCCGGATTCCGGAATGAACAATCCGCATTATCAATAATAAATCTGGAGAATTATCTCACTTATCGTTTCTCGTAAAACAGCTTCGTGAATTGCGATTTGAATCAATAAATTAAATTTGTTGTTCCTTGTGCTGCCGTTCTTTATTTTGTTACAGTTTAGTTCCATTGACACGATAGAAGTCGGCATATCCCTTAGATGAATATACAGGCGGTGCAATTCTTTACCTCTTTAGTTCATTAGGTCCCCATAAGACAAACATGCCTAACAATTTGTGTTTAAGAACGGCGAGAGCTTATGTTAGGACTAGCAGAAAGGTAGTCTGCCGTCACAATCTGATCCATACATATCTTTTTCCTAATTGAGGTTCTAGCAATCAATATTACTCGCTCGCACATTTGCATCGACCACCCGCCGCAATGAAATAAACAAAGTATTTCCTTCAGCCTCCGAGGCTCTCAAAGATATGAAGCCGGACAGTACAGTTTTATGCGGAGGCTTCGGCCTCTGTGGTGTTCCAGATACCCTCATTGACGAAGTCGTTAACAGACCAGATCTCAAAGGCCTCACTGCAGTTTCAAATAATGCCGGTACAGATGAATCAGGTCTGGGGAAATTGTTGAAGACGAAGCAGATCAAAAAAATGGTTGCAAGTTATATCGGAGAGAACAAAACTTTTGAGAAGATGTACCTGACTGGTGAAGTCGAGTTGGAATTGACACCACAAGGAACGTTGGCCGAAAGATGTGCTTCGGGTGGTAAAGGTATACCTGCTTTCTACACCCCTGCTGCATTCGGAACGGTTGTACAAACCGGCGAGCTTCCACTTCGTAATAATCCCGATGGTACACCAAAGGAGCTTTCTTATCCAAAAGATGTAAAAATCTTTCACGGCAAACCTTATCTTCTGGAAGAGAGTATTCGAGGTGACTACGCTTTCGTGAAAGCCTGGAAAGCGGATAAACTTGGAAATTGTCAGTTCCGGTTAGCAGCCAACAATTTCAATGGTGCAATGGGAAGAAACGCGAAGATGACAATCGTGGAGGCAGAGAGTATTGTAGAGCCAGGAGACATCCCACCGGAAGCTGTGCATCTCCCGGGAATTTACGTCAAGAGAGTTATTCAATCTACAACGTCCAAGAATATCGAAAAATTCACCTTTGCAAAAGATCCAAATGATCCAGCGACAAAGAGTGCGCTAGGTAGTGGTGATACCGCTGCCAAGCGAGAGAGAATCGTTAGGCGCGCCGCCAAAGAATTCAAAAATGGTATGTATGCCAATCTCGGCATAGGAATGCCTATGCTTGCGCCATCGTTTGTTGGTCCAGAAGTCGAAGTACAACTACAATCGGAGAATGGTATCTTAGGGTTGGGTCCCTATCCTCAAAAGGGGTTTGAGGATGCGGATCTCATCAATGCTGGCAAAGAGACAGTGACACTAAACCCCGGTGCTGCAGTTTTTGGTAGCGAGGAGAGCTTTGGTATGATTCGATCTGGAAGAGTAAATTTGACCATATTGGGAGCTATGCAAGTAAGCGGGAACGGTGATCTTGCGAATTGGATGTTACCCGGGAAGATTAAGGGCTTTGGAGGGGCCATGGATTTAGTTAGCAACCCTTCAATGACGAAGGTTGTTGTAACAATGGAGCACTGTGATAAGAAAGGAAATGCAAAGATTGTTAAACAGTGCGAGTTTCCTCTCACGGGAAAAGCTTGCGTCTCGAGGATTATTACTGAACTGGTGAGTAGCCTATTATCCGCGCTGATGATCAAGTGATCACCTGGCGGCTGGTAATGGAAGGCAAAGAACAAAGAGTGCTAACAAATTTGTAGGGGGTATTTGATGTCGACTTTACAAAAGGACTTACCTTGATTGAGATTGCAGATGGGGTGACAGTGGAAGAGGTCAAGAGCAAGACAGATGCACCTTTTACAGTTGCAGAAGATCTTAAGCCAATGCTATAAATCATAGATACGAAAGCATACGATTTTGCATATATTGACTAGGAGTATAGCCCTGCTTCGGTGCGGCATAACACTGGGATTTAATTACACACTTTCCTGTAGATAAAATGACCGAATCTAAGGATAAATCACAACTCGGGTAACTTCACTATCATTAAAGTTGTAATTATGTGAAGCTTCAAATTCCTATCCTTCAAAGGTTGTCTCGGCAAAAGGGTCGAGGTCCAGTATGTCGTTGAATATTCAATGAACGACCAAAATATATTGATCGCTGCAGTGCAACTGTTTCGATAGACAATAGTCAATAAAAACAAACTTTTCCAAGCCAGAGGTGAAATGAATGGTGAATACCAGCTTTATACATGATCCGCAGTAAAGTGCTTGTATGCCTATCTGAACAGTCTACCAAAAAATGTTTGAGGGCACAACGAGGATTGTATGCATTCAATGTGCGCCGGTGCATGAGCACGCTTATAGCCGTTACTTATTTTAGGTAGGTATCTCTGCATATTTATCGTCATCAGTAAAGGTATTGGTATTTATTTATTTGTGTCGCACTATTCGTAGTAATTGACTGCTAGGCAGGAAGGTTGCTCTGACTGTGCTCTTTAAATATTCGGCCGATCTTTCGCTAAGCCTCATCCTTCACGGTCCGACAACAATCAGGCGATGAAGATAATACACCCTGTATTTCATCATCCTGTTGGCTAATCTTAAATGAGCCACATCTTAGTGGGTCTTCAAATGTTAGATTATGACTGCTTTAAGAACATCGATAATCATTGATCATTATAGACAATCCAAAGACAATCCAAACACCATTATGCAGCTTGCGCCATATTCAGTAAGTTTGCCTTTGCGGTAAAGGGAACTCAGGGGTAATCAATTATAGAACAGTTGTATTACAGGATTAGGGGGGGGGGAAGACCTTGTATAATCCTCCTCTTAAAGGTCCTTGGTCTAGTAATCAATCCTCAGGACACTCCTCGCCCGTTTCATTAGTCGAACTGCGAAAGATGCCACAACAGGATTTTTTTCATAGGTAGCTAGCAACCTCCCACATCTGACCTACAATTAGAATCTACCTGGTATGAAGGACACCGAATGTCTTGCTACGCCTCCATTCATGGGATCATAAACTTGGTAGATATATCGTTCAGTAATGGTGCACCTCCCCTACCTACTTAATGTTTCGTTTCTGCCCTTCCCATCATTTGAAATATAACACTTACAACTGTTTTCATTGCTTGCTGCACTGCGAGTTTCATTTTAGTCATTCTTTTATGTCCTTCTTTTCATAGTCACTCGTTTTGAGCAGACATCTTCTTCATCTTACAAGAATACAGAATTTGTTGTCGTCTTTTGAAATATTCAACAGGATTACCACCTTTCTCTTATCGGTTTCTAACGATGAGACATTATCTCACCTCTCTTCTCGTACTTGTGAGCGCTGTATCAGCAGTTGTCGTTCCAGCCAACTCTTCTGTTGTAGCAGCAGACCCAGCAGCAGGGATACCTGTTGCTATAACTCCCCATCCATTCTTTAGCAGCTCAATTGGAGTTCTTGGCTGTATGATTAACACTAACCGTGGTATGTAAACAACCAAGAAAACAAATCCTCACTTAACAATATTAACTTCCGATCTTTAACAGTTGCATACTGGCCTACATGGCCTGATTGCGGTGCTAGTATATGCGTGCAGGTATCTTACGGCGGACGGTCCGTCAACTTACTTCATATCGACCATTCAGGTGGAGCACATGACATATCTTATGATGCGTGGAATTACCTTTACACAGGACAGTCTGCTACGGTAAATCCGGAACAAGGAGGCAGTATATCCGCTACATATGTCACGCAGCCCATGTCGGCTTGCTCGGATCTGATTTTGTCTCCAGATCAGAAATTACCATTCTCCGCCGCGAATTCGATGAATTACATTTCAAACTGCACACTTGCAGGGTCAAATTGGATTTCACAGAATAACGGACTGTGGAACATTGCAACAAGTTCCTGTACACTCGGGGTAGATGAAGAATGCACATTAGACTTGAAGACAAGCAACCTCCCTGTCTGTCCATCTGGGTTGGGCCTGCAGACACCGTTGACTTCAATGCCGGTTTTTGATCTGGAATACGGCACCGGAAAATCTGTTTTGGCCTTGTAAACAGGAAAAAGATAGCCGAGAGGAGAAAAGGGTGGAGATCAGCTGAATAGGTTCGAAAGCTGTATCATTGTTCAAATGATATCGAATGGACTTGGAGATGGAAAGATTGATAAAGTATTATATTCATAGTCTGGGTATGAATTCAACTAGATGTTTACTCGATTGATTTTGTTGCTGTTTTTAAGACAAAATCACACACATAGACTACATTAATCGAAATCAACGAAGTTTTTAAATCTCTTTTATATTTAAATACATGCGATTGATTAACGATACAAATAGTCGAGAATATAAAATGTTTTCTCTTGATCATTATTATCTCTTTTTTTCACAAAGAGAAATATAACGGCTGGATGGGCGGCCTGTGGTTTGTTTCCGTTCAACCCAGACAGAGTTCTCAGGGTGACACCTCAGCCCCCTGCTCAATCAACTGTTTCGAGGGCCGATGAGATACAGGTAGATTAGTGTCATCAAGACGACGTACCACCACCACCTGTGACGCCAGTGTCAGCAGAAGGTCTGGCGTCGCTACAGAATCTGATCAAACGGGATGCTCATACATTGAATGAGGCGAGTATACAGCGCCTAGAGAGGCATGTGGAGAAGCTCACCCATGCCGCCCAGATGTCCTTTGCCAAACGTGCCCTCCTCCATGATCAAAATCAGATGTTGACTAGAATGAACAACGAAGCTAAGGCTCGCCGATCACCTAGGTCAGTCGTACTCGGGAAGGCGAAAGTAATGAGCTTTGAGGACATCGAGGTGGCACGAGCAACGCGTGCTACAAAGGAGGTCATCGAGGGCAAGGTAAAACGTGATCGGAAACGTAAAAGTTCTGCAGATGATCCAGAAGCAACAGAGGCAGCAGAGCCAGAAGCAGAGCTAGAGCCAAAAATGGCGCGGATGATATAAGATTGTTACACAAAAGAATAGAGAATCGTTTCTCATTTCCTTTAGTTCGGATTTGGGTTTTCAAGGCAGGAAAAAATATTATATATTTGATATAATTAGTGTGCATAGTATTCTTGATGTAATAGAAGGAGTTATGGTTCGCTTGCAAGTTATTAGTAAGCAGTATTTGTGTTGAGGCTAGACTCTTTACTCAAATCTTTGAAATTAATTCGTAGCTGTGTTTTGAGGAGTTTCACCTTCTGCTAGTTGATAGCGCTGTGTGCCGGAAACATCGTGCCTGCTACGAGTAGGTTACGCTAGCAAAACGTAACGATCTCGCGAACAAGACGAAAGTATGTTTCGTCTGAGAGGTCTACACCACCGCGGCTTGCTTGTTTCCCGACGTAGTACTACTTCAACTCTCCACTCTCTCGCAAGCTCGTGACATCCTACCCATGTGTATATGTCCGTACTATACGTCTGCGCGGTGCACTGCCGTCTCGTGTAGGTGTAGCAGAAGTTCGACTTTGTATTTACTCTCTGTAGGCAGAACTGCGTGAATGGATGGTACTTGGAACATCTTTGTTACGTTAGGACTGCTGCTTCCGCTGCCTGACTTCATTGATGTACTGACCTAAAATAGTGGAGAGATCCTAAGTAGCTGTTCTTCTTCAAGGGTACGCTCTGAGACCTTAGGGCCCGTTCGGATCGATTTTTTAGATGATGTTCATAACAAATATAGCCCAAATAAGCGTTTATCGAATGCTAATATAACATATTAAATTATTTTGAATTTTGTTATCAATATAATAAGTTTATTAAACACAATATATAACTACGAAAAGCTATAAAATATAGGTTAATAAAATTTGAAAATTTGTATAATAACTTTACTAAATTTATAATAAAAGTTCAATTAATATTTATTAAAATATAATTGCTCTATATTTTATAAAGTAAAAAAATTATTTGAATCTACAAAATTTAGATTGAATTATTAATCAACATTTCTTCTAAATTCGTTTTAGCAAAAAAATAAATAAATAGACCGAACGGGCCCTTAGGTCTCTAGTACTATCTTCGGGTTCCGTTCATCGATAGGATGACTTATTTGAACTAAGCTCGATAGAGTCGATGCTGGCTTGAATGCGACTTTTGATACAGTGACTCCGAACTCTCAATGTGGGCTAGTATCATTATGTATTAAACCCTGTATTAGCATACTTGGCATGTGAATTTACGGAGTATACCCTCCACCTAAACATTTGCTAATATGTCGAAAATCGGCGGCATGCGCACAATGAAATTCTGCCTAAGGGAATAATAATAATACTTGCGGCACGTGACAACTGGTCGGGAAGATGCCACCTGTCTTGTGTGGGGTTCGCGCTATCCCCTAACTCAAATGTCGAGTGAACTCTCAACGTGGATTACTATTCTATACTCCACTTTAACAACATTCACTTCAATCCTGGTCCTTCCTTAGCTAGAAGGAAGAGCTATAGGTATCCTCAACCCGTCACCTTCACTGACGTCAGGTTACCGGCCGACAGCAGTATTGGAAATCGTTCTGAGGTCCGCAGACCAACCGTATTGAAAATTTTCAACGACAGGATGTTTGAGTTTATAACATCTTTTTTCTCAACTGCCGCACCCCCGCTCTTTCCACCATCTGGTCCAACAGTGACTGTCTTGATTATTCCAGCCAATGGCGCACCCCCAAGAATAGAACGCCTCGGAACCGTTAACGTACGAAATGATGACAGAATCGACCGCTTTCTTCACTACGTACCTGATATGAGGCCATACTGGAAAAATGATTTTGGCTGGAGTTGCCGAGACATAGCACGAATTGACATCACGGACCATGTTGTCCCAGCTTTGAACGGATTTTATTATGGCTTTAAGAGCTATAACGTATATGATCTACCGATGTCAAAGCACGGTCGCGGGATCTATGGAGATGCTTGTATTACAAAGATGGCACCTGAAAAGTATTGTGCGCGTGGATTCAGAATTATCAAATGGGGAGAGGAAGAGATCGACGACCTTAAGAACGAGCTGTCAAGATTTGCAGTTTATGATGATATTGCTATGGATGTTGTTGACACAGGGCTGTGGAAGGAGCTTGTAGAGAAACTATCTAAGGTTTGAGGGAGGTAGTACCGTGGTTATTTGAGGAGAAGGTTTTGAATTTACCTAACCTAGCTACCATTCATTAAGGTGTTGGAATCTGCTCCTTTTAGGTTCGTTAATGGTTATATTAGCTTGGATCGTCCATCCAGAACTACTCGTATATTGCTGGAATGTTCGATAGGACTATATCGATCCTTGAGCAGAAGTTTGTTGCTCTCACGTGAAATTAAAAAGGTCAAGTATACCAATGTTCGACGATGTTAGAAAACAGGCATTGAGGTCATTCCTAAGCTGGATGTGACGCACCGTCACTCGCTTTGATCCGAGGTACAGATCCGCGTAGCGATCTTGTATAAAATCTATACGCTACAGCAGCCGTCGAGACAAATGACGATTTTCTATATCGTAGTGAGTCCTAAGAGCTCGAATGACTCCTTTATAAATATTAGGGTTAGTATAAGCTCTATACTAGAGCTATAGTAGAGGAAGTTTATTACGCTATAAACCCTAAGACCCTTTACAGATCAGGCGTGAGGGCGACAATGCGATCGCGATTTTTTAATGAGAAGGTTTTACGAGTATAATGTCCGGAATGTCCGGGAGTAGTTACAGAATATAACTTATAAGAAAATATAAGAGATATTGAGATACATATAGATTTTGCGATGCTCGAAGTCAAGTACCTATTATCTTTTCCGGTACATAGGGTTTTCCGTTATATAAATCGAGTATCCTACTTTCTAGCAACCCCTGTTTTAGGCCACCCTTTTATATCAAAAATCATTTTTTTTTAGTCTACTAACATCTTTATTAATATATAATATAATTTAATAAAAACTTATACATATATAATTCAAATCATTTTAAGCTTGTTCTGAAATTTTAGGATTTTTAGGATTTTTCTAGATTGAGATCTAGAACTTCAAAATATCGATTTTCAAATTTATATAGAAATCATATACAAATTTAAAACCTTCAAAAAATCTTTAATAACTTTGTAATTAAAATTATTAAAAATAAATCATAAATTTTAATTATAAATATATAATATATTTAATTTAAAAAATTCAAAAAAAAAGAAAATTTCTTATAAATAAATATTTAAAGAAATACCCTCAAAATAATAAAGATTATTTATACTCCTTTAAACTCACTATATACTATATCTCTATATCTATTAATCTTTTTTTTTTTTTTTTTTTCATAAAGCAAATCATTCAATTGTTCTTAGATTTTTATAACTTTTATTGCTAATTTATTAAGAATTATACATTGTTGTATAGTTGTTGAAACGAAGGAATCTTACAATACCATGATATTGTCAATGTGTGGTTGTGAGCGATCTGTTGCACTGCCGAGTGTGTCGGGTTGCGATCTAATTGCTTTAATAACAATAACGATGATTATATCGATAATTAAAGTGAATAGAGATAATAATATATGGTTTATTTATAAAATAATAACTAATCAATTCTATAAAAAGAATGGAAAGTGATGAGTAATTTTAAAGATTGTAAGTGTAATCGATATATGTATTAAAACCCTGAACAAAACGGAACTGAGTCACGCCGATACGCTGAGGTCTGTGTATATTAATGGCATAATCAAGACTATAAAATAAGCTGGGTTTATATAAAGAACCCCTATATTAATTACAAAAATAACCTTAGAGGGTACTGCTAAATCCTATATTGATATACTTAAGACTGAGGGGGTGCCTTAGGTATCGAAAGGTGTTAAGACGAGCATGTCCAAAACGATGGAAACGATATAGAAATGCGAACAACAAAGCGAAATAGTTGTATGATCCTTATAAAAATAGGAAATAAATAACAAATGATTGTCAATAATTTCTTCGAATTGCGATTAAAGATTATAAAGCAATTCCTGAATTAAGGTTTGAATTGATCCCCTTGTTTTATTACAACAAGATAGGGTGGACCCTGGGATATAAGATATTAGAGGAATATAAGAACTTTTTATGAAACGAAAATTGTATATAATTGATTATTGCATTTGATATGGATAATGCTCAAACTGTAGAGATCTAATACAACTATATTGTGTTTTAGGTTTTTTATAATATGTTGAGTGTACTCACAATACTTTTAGATATAATTATTCGAGAAAAGATCAAAATACAGATAGGAGAGAAATCAATGCAATATAGAGTCTCTAAGTATAGGGTAAACCTTTTTATAGGGAGGGTTAACTGAATTGTTAGTTTTAAGAAAATAATAAAATCATTCTAGTTATTTAATATTAGTAAATACTCGAAATCTCTTAATAAATCATAACACCCTTAACTACAATAGCATTTTAATAAATACTAGCTATACTGTAATCTGTATATGTGTTATCGTTTGGTTTGTTATTTTAGGTGTAGTGAATTGATTACTAAATATATCGATGGAAAGATTTATGAGTAATATCAAAACGATATTCAATATGCAGAATACCTAAAACCCTTCCAATTTGTGTATAGCAATTGCTTAGCAATATTATGATTAATTAATAAAAAACTAATTAGACTCATTTATCAACAAATAAAAGAAATCAGGATTGCTAGCCGAAAGAAGACTCAGGAAGTATATAAAGGAAAGGCATTTACTTTAATATTAATCAAACAATCTTAAATGGTTATTCTTAAACCCCCTATATCAAGGGCCTGTATTACTGCCTACGAGAATGAATGACAATTAGTAGATCGATTACCCAAACGGGCCCGATCAGGGGAAGGCCTCTCCAACAGTTCGATTTATATCTCGAGCTGTAACTCTTTGTGTTGTGCTAATAAAGGGGTAAATTATAATATAACAGCTATAACTGAAAAAGCCTTCTCACCTTCCAATTCTGAAATGAGCGAAGGGAATAAGTCAAATGCC